ACTGTTGTAATGGGGTTAAACTACTGTTGTAATGGGGTTAAACTACTGTTGTAATGGGGTTAAACTACTGTTGTAATGGGGTTAAACTACTGTTGTAATGGGGTTAAACTACTGTTGTAATGGTTTTAAACTACTGTTGTAATGGGGTTAAACTACTGTTGTAATGGGTTAAACTACTGTTGTAATGGGGTAAACTACTGTTGTAATGGGGTTAAACTACTGTTGTAATGGGGTTAAACTACTGTTGAAACATTCGGAATAAGATCCATCATTTTGGTATGAATGTTAGGGCTCAGTTTGTTTTGAACACAAACAAGCACGGTTGAATCAGAAAGGGGAGTGGGTAAAGCCTACGGTGTATGAACCATACCACTACTCAAAAGAAATAGCATATTTTCCCTCGCGTTGCTAGTTTCTGGATCTCTAACCCAAGCTAGAGGATTCAACTGTAGTTTTAGTTTTTCATACGCATTATAACCTCGTTGCGATCTGGAGATAATTGTATTGGGACTGATACAGGTAACTACTGTTGGGCAGGTGTCTCTGATGGAAGGAGCGACCATAACATGATTGACGCTCTAGGGTTGGAATCCGGATCACGTCACGTTGTTATTTTTCCAATGTCACATTTTTTATAGACATCTTTTAATTTTGTTCATAAAAGTTCCTCATGGTATGGATGTCTTTTCCGAGGAGATTTATTCCAGCTTTTATCGTCAACAACAATCCTATTAATAATTACATCTTTAAGGGGTGCGGTGGTCCTGAAACAATATTATTATTTAGTAGAAGCAGCAATAAACATATACAACATATGTGTTTCAATATCAATGTGACATCTAACAGCTTAAATAAACTATCTCACATTGTTAGTATAGGGTCTTAGATACGACTCTTTGTATTTCTGATATAATGAAATATATTGTTTATCGTAATTGTTAAGCGGTACCATTTTTGCGGTTTCTATTCAACGGAATATATATTCGTTGATACATATCCCTTTTAACAATTTATGTTTTTCTGTTCTTTCCTTTGCGTAGCCTGGTATTAAACGTGATGTCTAGTTTGTACACTACAAGTTTCTTTTCACAGAGCGTTTATACCTTTGTCGATGACCTGTGTTTTCCATTATAAATCATTCCGTACTCTAACGTTATATAACGAGATCTGACGTTCCTGGCTTTACATAATTTATGCCAGTCAATTTAAGTGCAGGCTTAAAACAACACGCGACAAATCTGAGATACCCGGATGATAAATTATATATTTACATAGGCCATAACATGAACAAGTCGGTGCCAATTGATGTTAGAAGCCACTTACGTGCAGAATATTAATATGAACATAAGTACAGGCACTTTTCGTATATTGCATTTTTTTTGTATGTGGGGCAACGAGGCACAGTTCTGTATAATATATCTTTTTTGTTCTAATGCAATGTAAGTGTTTTGTGTTTTTGATACAATATATTCATTTTGTTCTAATGTAATCGTTTATTAATTTTGATTGAAGGGTTCTCTATTTTTTTAATGGCTATATCGTCAATGAAGCTAAGTTGACGGAATAGCCCTCGCCAATCATAGTCACTCCAGTGATTGATTCAAGGCATTGACTGTCATTTGAAATGGTCTGTCCAGCGTCACATTGACGACTGTAGAAACTGCGGATTTAGAATTGAATAAAATTTATCATTTGAACAAAGTTCGGGAGTTACTGTCTAAAGACTTCAATAGTGTCTAATCTAAATCAAAATGCTCTCCAAGGGTTGTCGTCACCTACAATAGTATATTTTGTTTTGAGCCTATGTATGTTCGGGGAAAAACTGACCTGCTGTATCCCACTACATTGATCGTAAAGGCGACTAATGTAAGGGCACCTGCAACATCAAAGGTTTCCTTCTGTTTTCTACTAGGAGGACAACTAGGAGGACATGAATGAGACCAAAATCGACTTGCTGCCCCCATAGCCACACACTTATGATATTCTTCTTTGCTTTTCTCACTACTCTGCCCTTTCTGGGTAAGGGTTAGGGTTAGGGTGAGGGTTAGGGTTATAGGGTAATGTTGGTGATGTCTCTCTAGACACCCGTTTTTATATGACAGAGGACGTTAAACACCAAACAAACAAAAATTCAGCTTTAACCTCAAAGTTTAAAAAAAAATGGTTATTGAACTTCGTACACCTCAATCCTTGTTAGTTTTATTCAGGAATTGAAATATGTCGATGTTCATCAATCTAAGACTTGTTTATTCCCAATAGGAATACTAGTGCTCCATGTTGGTTTCAGTGACAATATATTACATGTACACGTGTATGTCACTTAGTTTCTGATAGACAAGATTCCCTGTAAATACACCCCCTCTAGATCCTCATCGTCCCTGTTCGTGACAAGGAATGCAGAATTTTCTATTAAATACACATATGTAAGTAAATACATTTTCCAATCACAGATTTGATTAGGGTATACACTAGCGTGCCTAATACAGGAATGATAAGAGTGGTCAACACGGGCTCTGTACAAGTCAATACCATTTAAACCCAGGCACGACATGGTCCGATATGTCACTGTACGCTAATGCTATTTAAGGACGTGCCTCCATGTGTGAAGTGTATACAGGAGACAGGGTATGGACAATCATGTTGCTCTGTGTACCAGCATGTAAATACTTACACAAGTATTGTTCTACCTGGAGGTCTTGCCCTACCTGTAAATGTTATAAAGGTGATTGGCAAAACTGTTTTCCAACTCAGTTTTGAAACTCATTTTAGTCGTTTTAGGGAGAATACAGACAGCTTCACCCACGTTTTTACATATCAAAACTGTATTATTTGATATAAATTTATATGACAAAAGTTCAAGTTCAGTCCAAAGTAAGAGTACCATTGCTATTTCAAATTACGTAGGCCACTATTGGGCAATACTATTTGAACGTTAAGGTCATGAACAAATTGAATGTCCTGACAGACCTGTTAAAATAATAGAATAAAATAGTGGGTAGCCGGGTGGTGCAGTCAATCACGCACTCACCTTTCACCAAGGCGGCCGGGGTTCGATTCCCTGATTGGACGTCAATAGATATGGGGTCACCTGCCCGTGCGTTATCTCCGGGTACTCCGGTTTCCGCCCAAAATAGGGCCATCTGCACGCTTCCATCCAACCAACAAGAGTGATTTATACAAGTTGAAATAACTTGTTTCTTCATTGTTTTAAAATATATAAAGTTTCTATTTATACAATAAAAGCACAATCTATAGAGCTCTGCACATCGATCTCCATTGCAAATAAACCTATATATGATTTATCATACCGTAGAAAAAATCATCAAAGATGATGTCTTGGTGACATAAGTGTGATTGCCGGGGATACGGAATGTTTCCTATATTGACAAATGTCATCACTGTTATATTGTCAATACTGTGGACTGTGTGAGTTATTTGTGATTGACAGATCATGCACCCATGCATTGTAAATGTCATTAGGAATATCCCCCTTGGTGTTTACTTTGCCCGTAGGATATCTGATCGACTGGAGTCTAGACAATTCAATAAAACGTGACCATCTACATGTGTATAATGTCAGACAACAAAGTTAAACTATACAACGTTTATAACGACCGAGTATGTTAATCTGCCATCACAAGGAACACGAATTTACTTCGATGTTTTCTGATTAGAAGAAACAGAAATTAACCTTCTGCCCTGTAACGTTTGGGATTGGCCTTTCCTTCTTACTTACTATTTCCTCTCGGCTGTGTCTACCTAGGCAAACATCTACATATGACCTTAGCTGCTCTGAGACCTTTAAACGTTTAAAAAGGTAAATACAGAAAATTATAAGTACTTCTAACCTTCTCCCCTATCCCGGACCTTTAATATTAATGTACCTAAATGTGAAACTTGTACTACTGGTGGCTGGGTGGTTCATGTGTCTGACAGTCTGCGGGTTCGATACCTTCGTGGGGCAACTTCCGCAGGTCGGTGGTTTTTTTCCGGGTACTCCGGCTTTCCTCCACCATCAAACTTGGCACGTCCTTTAATTATCATAGCTGTGACTAGGTCGTAAAACACAAGCAACTAACATTTCACCCTCTCTTTTCGGTTTGTTTGTTTGTTTGTTTGTATATTGTTTTACGGCCCATCGACTATGCGAGATTTACGGTCAACTCTCTTTTTGGCGATCGATATTAGTTCTATAAGAGTATTGTATGTTATATAACAGATCTCATGCCGAAACAAATATCAAATATGCAGTAGAACTTGGTGCTTGTAATTCATATATATATATTCTTTTTTTTTACATTTGAGAAAAAAATAGCGGTTAATTTAATGCAAATTGTCAAAATTAAGAATGTTGGTGTAAGCTAGAAACTTTTGTAATACCATGGCCTTTAAAAACAACCCACATAATTCAAAAACAATTTTTGAGGAAAGCCAATAATAATTTCGTCTTGTTTTTTGTCAAAAGTTCCAGTTTTCAGTTCCTCAGCGTCAATAAGTCTGATTAATGTTAATTTCATGTAAATCGCATGCACAATAAATTCGCGGCGGTGAAAACTATCCAACGACAATCTTTAACACTGAAGTGCGATATCATAATGCAAAACAAGCACTTTGTACAATACTTAGAAAACAACTGACTCATGTAATTAGTCGGTAAGTTTACTTCAAATGCACAGAAACTACCTTATTGTGGCAAGTAACTGATTTTTCTATTAACGGCAATTATTTACGTCAAGCAGGATACACAAAGGGAAACCTCCCATTCTGCAGGGGGTCCCACATTGGTCGCCTCATACAAACGCATGCAGTGGAAAACAGCAGGTGTATTCTTTTCCCGCAGCTACAAGGGTGTACGTTAAGTAGCCTTTTACGTGTTACATTCAAGGCCTTCCATGATTTTGCATATTGACAGGGTATTAACAGATGAATACTAAATTAGATGAACAACGTATACATTATATAAACATACAAGTAACAGTTGTTTCCCATTTTCATTGCAGTTTGAAGCAGTTAACATCATGCCAGTAGGAGATCAGAGGCGAGGAACCCATGATCGTGGTCGCCATGGTCACGATCATGCCGCTGCCAAGACAACGAGTAAACCTCGGAGACCATCTTCGTCTGCCAGTAATCGGAAAACCTCAGTTACGGCAGCACAAAGAGATGGTGTGAAATCAGCGAAAAGTGCCGAACAGGACCGACAAGTCACGAAGTCTCCCGAAGATTTGGAATTGAGATCTCTCACAAATGATTCCATGGCGACAAAAGAAGATGAACTGATTTATTCGAATGGACAAGTTGACACCAACAACGATATGAAAGCGAACGAAATCGAACAAAAATCACCCGAACCAGAAAAAGAAGAGGAGAAACTGGAAGAAAAATGGGCAGAAAAGGCTACAGATGAATACAATATCCGCTCTTTCAATGATAATATACTTGAATTCACTGAAATATTCGACAACGACAAATTCAAAACTGTGGATTCTGCCTACCCCGTTGAAGATCTGATTTCTGTCGTAAACTCTGTTTCCAGTGCGATTGATGAATTTAAGGAACAGACTTTAGCCTCACAGGTGAAGCTAGAGGGGCTCCGAGAGAAGATGAAGGAGGTCAAGGAGGCCATACATCACAACATCGCCAAAAACGCCGTGCAGCTGCCAGGTAAGTCAACTATTTTGTTGTCGTATAGTTGGTATTTTTCCTTCATATTATAAGATGTTTCTTAGCGTTTGTAGTGGGAGACAAGAGAAGAAAACTTAATACCGCCATTTTATGCGATGTAGAGATGGCAGAACTGGCTGAAATAGACAATTAATCAAAACAATGCTTGCAAATAGCAAACAACAGACATCGTTATTAACAAACAACTTAAGTTTAATAACCAAAATGGTTTTACCAGAAGACAACCAATAATATTAATAAAGTATTCAAAACAATGCCCGCAGACGACAGCCTTCTATATAAACAAAACTTCAAAACAATACTAGCGGACGGCAGTCATAGATATGAACAGATCTTCAAATCAATGATTGCAGGCAATAGTCATTGATATAAAAGTAATGCTATCCAATGCTAGCAGACGACAGACATCGATATGAGTCAATTATCAAAAGAATACTTACAGACGACAGACATCGATATAAAACGACAATCAAAACAGTGCGAGCAGACGACAGACATCGCTATGAGTAAACTATCAAAACAACGCGAGAAGACGACAACCTTTTATATAAACAAATACCATAACAACACGACCAGACGACAAGTTACTTGAAGTTAAAATATCTAGCGTATATATCGGTTTTCGCTTCCCGAGGGTTTCTATAATATTAGTTATGTTCTGCTATAATTCTATCTTGCTATTTTGTTAGGGGTTTTGTTGTCTTTGTTGTTGTTTTATGTAACGTAAGTGTTTTGTGATTTGCTGTGTCTCGATAAAGGAGCGGATTGCTCTGAAAATTTGACAATCTTATTTTGTCTACACTGTTGGAAATCTTCCTCACCGTATAAAACCTTATATAATCCTAATACACAGATCAAACATATATGATTTTAAGATCGTTGTCATATTTAAACCGACTCATTAAAAAATTAGGACCTTGTATAAACATCATGAAATATGATACATTTTAATAAAAAAAATACTGGCCATTTTTATTTAGGCCATATTTTACATTACCGTTGTATTGGCACAAGACATGTTCCAGTTGACCAGGTCGGTGTAAAGATCAAGTTCGTTTGAATTTAACGTCTAGTCTGTGGTTAGGTAGAGGTATATAATCGTCATTCATTTGATCAAGGCACAACATTAACGATGCGTGTGTGTGTCAAATATCAGATATCTAATATCAATCTATAGGACAGATATTCAGTGGGGAATTATAGTCGGTCTGTGGTAGCGAACAACTTAAACTTCATCTTATATAAAAACATGAAAGGAAAATGTCTTAGTAATAGTGTAATAACTATAGACCATCATGTAAAGCTTACAGACCCCAGACTACCCAAGATGTTTATACAAATATTTATTTTGTTATGACTTTGTTATACACACCACCAAACTATTAGATACCTATAATAAAAGTAACACATAGCAACAGTGTTATGATGTAAAAACCGGAAGTACAGCGAAAAAAGGTAAACAAAGGCAGCCATTACTGGTTTTATATAATATATCACTCTTCTGCAGTTTTCATCATTTAATCATTACAAATTTTAAAAAAGCATTTGATTTAATCGTCTGCTATATGGCATTTAAATAAAATTGGAGAAAAATATTGTATAGCGTTAACTAATACAAACAAAGGAACAAATAAAATTCAAAAGTCGACACAAAAAACACACCGACGGTAACCAAGGAGACACCAAACCAAATGTAAAGGGAATCGTGAACATAACATTTTAAGTAACCTCCTTTTAGAATTATTTACTGTTTTAATTATTGAAACGGCAAAGATTTCAGATACTTAGTGTATAAAAAGTTGTGTCAAACCAATAAATAGTTTTGTAGGTGCCTCTGCCTTCGCTGTTCTTCAACATGTGTCGGAACACTGTTACATGGATTTTCCTTGTCTTTACCATTGGGATCATTGATGAATCCTAAATGAATGAAATGATCGTATGGTGTATTTAACATTTGCATTAAACTAAATTTAAGTATACTGTAAACGTACATATTTTAGAGGTAATCTTATTTTAACGGTTTTCGTCCTTTAAGTATTGCGCTAAATATAATGAATGTACGCCAATTGAAATATCCGTATATTGTCTTCTATTACATGTTCTGTAGATGTGCCATTACATCAAAGCGCAAATCTGTTCAAATTCAATAAAATGTGAGCCCACTAAAATTAGTTCATTTACAGTATGTGTTGCCTTAATTTGTATTTCTAGTGGTTACTTTATATATAATTCACACACATATAAAGGGGCATTGTTAATGTTATTTTTTCATTTCTCCCTGACTCGCTAATAATCGATCTTTGTTTGCTTCTAAATGTGTCTGGGAAATTAACAGGTAATTGGGTGACCCCATATTGACCTCGCTTGAAACAAAATCTTTATATTGTATAGATTGTTTAAACAGGGAGGTAGAGATTTGTAACCAGATAAATACAAATGGGCTTATGAATCAGGGTTTTGTCTGTGGTCTTGTCAGTCACGTCATCCAGTGTCTCTCTTATGTAACAGAGTACAGAGAGGTCACAGGTATTTATATACGCTATAAAGAAACCCTTTGTTTGTAAGTACAACAGTTGGCTCACACAATTCCCCCATTTTAAGTAAATGGAGGAAGGCGGGGCAACATAACTTATATATTGACATAAATTATGTTTAGGGAATAATAACGAAAATTCGTTTCTGTTGACTTCGTACATAAAGAAAGAATCGTTTGTGTATAAATTAAACTAAATATTCATTAATGCTTATAAGTTTTAGGCAATGAACGGGTGATTGTTACCTATAAAGGCGAGAGTACATTCGCGTTGTTTTATCGTTTATCATTACTGAGAGATTATACAGTGTGTGTGTTGTGATACACCTTTTGTAAAATAGAATAACAATATACCAAAGCTTCAATACACCATGGAAATATCGACACAAATCGTATCGAAACTTACAGGGGAAACACCGACACTACAAGGAGAGTGATCAAGTTTTGTCTCTTCAAGCAGATAGCAGAAAACGTGAAAGGAAACTCCCGAATCCCGCGAGTCCGCATAGACACTTATTACAATAGCACGCAGTGAAGGAATACAGGTCACTTTTTCCGAGACCGCTTTCGTTTGTCGCTATCCAACCGTTAGACCGTTTGAACTCTTAACGGTTGGACCAGAGTTGTTTGTTTATGAAATAAAGCCAGACCTAGTAATCTGATCCTGCTTTCAGGCGAGCCTTGACAAAGCCTTGCAAGGCATGCATACAGCTTTTCCAGGTCCACTAGGATTTATACCCGAAATTGTTACATTTAAAAACTGACAAACCGATTGTTCCGCATACACGAACAGGCCCCTAGCGTCCCAAAACCGGCAGGAAACAAACAAATGTATACTTAATACTGAAAAATAGGATATTTACGTAACGACAAATACATTTGAAGTGGCGTTTTGTATTTTTTCTTTCGATCGTAATGTGTTTATTGTGTGATAAGTTATAAATGATGTGTTGCTCATCGTCGTTCAAATTGATCTCCCTACATAATTTGTGTTTTAACGGCTTTCCCTATACTATTTTACTTTCCTGTGGTCTAATTCAATATATCAGACAAAGTTGTTATAATAAACGTACAAAATATTAATTTAAATTGTTCACATGTCATCGTTAATCATAGGGATACTTCAGGGTTGACAGTAAATTGTCGGTAAACCATCTTATATTAATGTTGGGTCTTTTGAGGCGACATGTGGTTAAGTCCACAATCTGTTTATAGATACGACATGTAGTTATATGGCCCATCGACCGTCAGTATAGGATGTTTCCTTTATCTCAAAGCATTTATCATATACCATAGCGAAAACAATATCAGACCTATAAAGACACAGATAGAGTGTTATTTTATTTTATAGTCGATTGACCGCACATATTGGCTACTGCTATAGAACGAAGAATGTCAAGTGCCCTTTAGCCTGTGGTTTATACACCAACCCTGGACTTACACCCACAACTGGTGACCGTACCTGTCTTTAACGTTTGTTTACACTTGTAAGGGTTTTCAATTGACCTGTTTATATCTACACCTGTCCACTCAACAGGTGAACGTTAAACTCCTGTGTGATAAATGACCAGGATAATTTGGTCAAACCTTATCTAGCTAAAGGGGAGATTCCGGAAATTTGACCCCGTTTCCGGCCCATTTATTAAAAGATGTATTTTTTTTGTCCGGTCTATTATTATTCTCTCTATTTCCGCCTTTAAGAATATTTTACAAACAAAATGATGCAGTTACAATGATAGATAAGAGAATAAATGAAAAATCAAATAGATGGTAAGGCAAAATTAATGCACAACATAATTAGTAAACACAATAGGAATAGGTTAATCAATTTGAGTACAGTTTACAAAAGAATACACAATTAATAATGTTAAGAATGAAAGTAGTATGCTTTATTTTGGACATGGCTGTGTTTCTCATTAAATGATACACAAAAGGAAATTTGACCCCGTTTCCGGCCCATTTATTAAAAAATATTATTTTTTCGTCCGGTCTATATATCCGTTAGTTGGCCTCGCATCACAGATACAGCTTCCGGATTGGTGGTTTTCGGGAATGGAGTCCATTTCTTAACTTGGATGAAATGAAACTTTATGTTATGCTTGAATGATGCTTGACATTTTTCCCATTAATTAAAGAGGTTCTTTAGCTTGTGTGATTTTTATTTTGACAAAATGACATGGTATTAATTTGAACATGAATTTCGGGATTATAAATTATCATAGTTCCAAGGGGTTGTGCTTACATAAAGGATATATAGTTACTGAGAATTATCTTTAAAAAGGCAAGTCATGGACATTTTCTTTCAGCGCCTCACAAATTGGTTTTACATAGTTCAATAAAACTCGAAACGAATAGGTATCGAACAGAATCATAGAACCTTTATGTACTAGATTTGACTTTGGTAGAGCATGGAGTGAGATTAGTTGCGGCCTGAGGCCAGAGTAAT